TTTTATCAAAAGCAAATTTTTTACCAAACGTAATTTTTTATCAACTAGCTTTTTCATCTATCAATTAATTTTTCAACTAGTACGTCAAATATAACATTAATGGTTTAATGGTTCTGTCTTATTAATCGCAAAAATATTAGTCATTAAACAATATATTTACACAATGCATGAAATTTGAACATGGAGCAAACTAAGTTGCAACGATATGTTCCGATATAACAAACTTAAGGGCTTTTGACATAAAAGTTCTTAAGTTTGACAAATTTTGTTGGTTTTGTCTATGTGATAATTTTTTGTTCGTTAATGCCCACAATTTGCCAAAATTTTGTTTTTGTTTGTCTTTTTCACCTTTTTTACTTCTTATAACAGGTTTTTAGGGATAAAAACATCAAAATTTAACGAATTTAAGTATTTTAATGTCAAATTTGAAAAACATACTTAGAGTAAAAAAATATATAAATAGATAAGTATTAATGAACATATAATATTTGTAACAAAGACAATTTTTTTTTTGGAAACTTTAAGTATTAACGAACAAGATATCATTATATGGACAAAATAGATAAAATTTGCCACATAATTTAAAAGTTATATGGCCAATGGCCAATCTAGTTGTACAAAACTACAACGCCAGCCGAATGCGCTCCTCAACAATTTCAATAGAGTTTAAAGACATGATATGCCTAAGGCCGTCCAGTATGGTTGCAACGGACGAGTTCGTGATCTAGCTGGCCACGAACCACGACCGTACACACCATCTCGGTGACTAGTGGTGGTTCAGGGTCGTGAGGAGTCGTGGTCGGGACAACGAATGCAAACGGAAAATATGATTGGGTGTAGAGTAACGGCCATATTTAGGGTTAAAATCTTTTTATTTTTTTTATTTTACTATTCAAACAACATTAAACCACTTCTATAAATACCACACCTATTCATTCATTTTACTCACACAATTCTTTTCTCTTCTTCTCACAATCACACACTTCTTTTGCTTCATAAACTCAAAGCCAATGGCTCCTAAAAAGATGAATTGGTCAGAAAATGAAGAAGAGAACTTAGCATTAGCATGGGTAGCTGTTTCAGAAGATCCAGAAATACCTCCTAATTTTTGGGTAAAAGTTGGAAACGTTTTCCATGATTTAATGGGTTGCCAAAGTCGTAATCTTGATGAAATATGTTCCAAGTTTCGCGACATGAGGGTAAAATGCCTTGAATTCAATGGGATTTATAACTTTGTTATAAACAACGTGGACGAAGGCAACCCGTTTGTTGTAGCCATGCACCAATATGAAGACACGAAACACACGCCGTTTAAACACGTCAAAGCTTGGCGAAAATTGAAAGAGTCCTTAAAATTTAGTCATTAAAAATAACGGTTCAAACTAGTTTAAGTTCTTTGTGGTTGCATTTTTATGTTTTTTTTATTATTATCTTTTTTATTTTATGTTGTGTGTTTTAAATTAATGTAATCTTTGTTTCATTGAATAAAAAACTAATTTAAAAAAAATATATATGTTTTATTGTGTTTGTGAATTAAATTTAAATAAAAAAACTAATTTAAAAAAATATATGTTTTATTGAATAAAAACTAATTTAAAAAAATATATGTTTTATTGAATAAAAAAAATATGTTTTATTGAATAACAAACTAATTTAAAAAAAAATATGTTTTATTGTGTTTTAATGTATTTTTGAAATAAATTTAAATAAAAAAATGATGTGGAGTGATGTGTTTAATAGTAGGTATCTCATGGTTAGTGGTAGGAATGTGGTGATGATGTAACACCCACCACATATATGGTATGTGGTGGGTATAACGGATGGTCTAAGTAGCTAAAACAAACCTAATACCTTTTTTTTTTTTAATTAAATTGGATGTTTTCTATTTTTTTTATCCTTTTTAATTAAGCAACCTAGCTACAACGCTACAATATACCCTATATCCTAGATATTTTTTTAAATTTTATTACATATATAGTTATTTTATTATATAATTAACAATATTATTATGATTTGTAATGAGGTTTGTTATAATCGGCGAATCATAAAGAATATAAAAGTTTTGTTTTCAAAAGATCTTACGATGTTAGCTTCTTTTTTACCTTTATTTTAAAGTCGTAATTGCTTCTCTATTTCACAGTAAAAACTTGTTAATTAACAAGTATTGAGGGGTGTCAAGCCTTACAAATAAGGGGTATACAAGTATCCTACAATTCAATGCTGAATTGCACTAAAGCGAAGTATAGGACAAGCATGATCGAACCACAGAGACACAAGACAATTGTTTATATATTTTTGTGTAAGGTACTTTGGTCACAAGGGGATGGACGGTATTGAGAAATGTAAAAAAAAAACAATCAAATACAAAAAAAATGTAGAAAATTAAGTAAATTGTAAACAATGGGTTGAAACAGTTCTACTTTCAGTTCTTAATGTTGTTATTTAACTAGATTATGCCTTGATGCAATTTATAATTACTATTCAATGTTGATAGTGGAAGATATTAATACACTCTAATACCTCTTGCTTGTCAAATTATTTAACCAAAACACGTTGTTTGATTAAATCTAACTTTATTACTTACCAAAGGGCCTTTGACCTAGCGGTATCAAAAGTTGACGGATAGATGACCCTCAGCCAAAGGTTGAGGGTTCAAGTCTCGCTTGAGATGAAAGATGTAGAATATGAGTAGTGTAGTGGGTGCATGTGTAGTCGTTCTTTAAAAAAAACATGACTTTCCTAATTCAACCTAAACAAACTCTTAACACGCTCTTAGATTGTACTGAAAAACCACATTAAGTTTTGTACAACGTTCCCAATAATGTTCATTTCTTCTCATACGCTCAGAAGTGTGAAAACATTTGATTAATGTTGGACAATAAGAAAACATATTGCTTGTTACCTCACATTAACTTTACAAAGCAATTATGTGCCCCTAAATTTCAAAGTCAATTAACTACACATGAATTCAATTTATCTAAGTAGCCTATCAAAAACAAATTAAATTCAAGAATTCTGGTTAGAATAAGAATAAAATTATAAACCAAATATCAAATCATAGCCTTCAAATCAATCGAACAACATGTATTGAACAGAAACTGAAAACCAAAGTTTTTAGCAAGACATGACTAAAAACGAATCAAACAAAAGTACTGAATTGCAAATGTCTAATGCTTACAAATGATTAGACCAAATGTTTGTAATTGTTTCCAAGCCTTCAAAACCTTCAAACCGCCTTCTGTTTGCCCATAAACCGTTTGACTGGAAAATGAGGTCATTCCCTCTGTTTTAGCAAAGTTGATAATTGCTCTGTCTGCTCAAAAAATATCTGGGAGAAAAACACGGTCATATATAATAAACATGGGCCGTGTTTTTTACAAAACTCATTTGACTTCGTTTATTTTGCATGTCGGGTCCAGAAAATGTCGAAAATTGAAAAACACGCTGACCTTAAAAACACGACCGTGTCAAATAAATATGGCTCGTGTTTTAAAAACACAACCCTTGTCAAATAAACATGATCCATGTGTTTCTACATGCTCCAGATTGTGTTCAATCTTCACTTTGCCTTCAACACGTATTCATCCTAAGATGTGTTGCCCAAAAGTATGAAAAAAGGATATACACGGTCCATGTTGGTGTAACAGAGGTCACATTTCAACCATAGTCCTTTGCTACGATGAAACACAACGACTTTGGACTATATCTTTCGGCTTCTCGCAACAACTCGTCCAGTCCATCTTTTCTCCATGCTTAATGCTTGCCTCCACACAATGCCTACAAAACAATTCAAAATAACGAAGTATTAGACATTCCGAATTAAAACCGCAAGTGCCCTAATTTATTGATAAAATGCACTAAATAATAACTAAAGATAAGTACAAATACGAGATTAAGCGTACAAAATAAATGTATAAAATAGAGCTACCAACAAGCTATTTATAAAAGCCTTAGGTTTGAAAAAGCTCATTGAATACTTTTTCTTTTTTTAAAGACAAAACTTCAAAAATGGTCCATGTGGTTTCACAAAATCTGAAGTTTGGTCCCTAATTTACAAAAACCTCACGGATGGTCCCTGTGGTTTCAAAACTTTTAATGTTTAGTCCTTCCGCCTAACTCCGTCAGCTTTCTACCGTTAAGTGAGGGGCATTTTCGTCATTTCAATACCCAGGGACCATTAATGAGGTTTTCTCTATTTAAAAAAAGAAAAAAAATAATTATTTAATTTAAGGGCCTGTCTCTCTCTCTCTCTCTGGGAAAACCCAAGCAAAAAGCGGAGGCTGCTACCCTATGTTCCAGCCATGTTTCTTTCTTCTTTCTCGATGACAAGCAAGCTAAACAGCCACAGATACTTGTTGTTGTTGCCTCCCTTCTTCTTCTTCTTCTTCTTCAATTTTAATCGAGAAAACCTCCATCAGAGGTGGGGTTTTCCGGCAGTCAAGAAAAAACATATTAGAAACAATTCTTTAAGAAAAAAAGTTGTAAAAAAACTAAAGTTATGATGAATTCATAAAAAAAATTCTAAAATTTGAGCAAAAAAGATAAAGTTTGGATCAAATTTGTAACAAAATTTAATATTTGGGTCAAAAATGTAAAATTTGAACTAAATTTGTAATAAATTTTGGAATCTGGGCCAAAAATGTAATTTTTGAAAGTTGGATGACCTGCTGACCGGGTCAAAGGGTTAAATTGAATACGATTACCGGTATTTGAGACTTAATTGAATAAAAAAAAATATATAATAATTAAATCGATTATGAGACCAATATATAGTGACTTTATTGTAGTTTTCCCTTTTAAAATGGTTTGGAAAAAGCTAATATATAACTTTACGGTTTATTGTAAAAGCAAATATAAATACATAGGTGAAAAGATAAAGTCAAATTCATATGAAACCCGCGCAAAAAGAGTGCGTGGGGCCACGTAGTTGGCGTTAGTTTGCCACATAGATCATCGATTACGCAATCACCGTTTACATTTTCATTTCTTCAGACTTATATATTCATTTGCTTTTACACAAAAGGAATGATGGTTGTTGGTGAAGAAATTTTCGAATTTTGAGTAGAGATTAAGCTTAAAATGGCGACCAAGTTTTTATCACTGGCGTGTATACGTGGCACCGGTGCCGGTGATGGCTATTCCCGAGGATTGTCACCGCGGCCGCACTATCCGTCTATGCCAAAGTACCCAAAGGGGATGTCGGCAGATATGGAGAGTAGTATGGATAGATCGGAGCGTAGGGCTTTGTTTTCTGTCACCGGAATGACCTGTTCCGCTTGTGCCGGATCGGTGGAGAAGGCCGTTAAGCGGTTGCCGGGAATCAAGGAGGCTGTTATTGATGTGTTGAATAATCGAGCTCAAGTCATGTTTTACCCTAGCTTCGTCAATGTAAGTTTCATCGTTCCTGATAATTAGATACAGTCAATCAGTTGTACCCTAGCTAGCCTTTTTCTCAGACTTCAATTACTAAATTCTGATGATGATCGTTGCTTTTTCTACTAATTTGCAATTTTACTCCAGATCTATGGAATTAGAGTGTATTAGTCTCATGAAGAATATCAATATTTTTGATTTCGAGTGGTTGATTCATCATTTTACCAAAAGTTTATGGTTGTTTCTCGTTTTGCTATTCATAGGAGGAGACTATTCGTGAAACCATTGAAGATGTAGGGTTCGAAGCTACACTGATCATGGAGGAAACAAATGAAAAATCGACTCAAGTATGTAGAATCCTCATCAAAGGAATGACTTGCACAACTTGTTCAAGTACAGTCGAGTCTGCTCTCGGATCTGTACATGGAGTACAGAGAGCCCAAGTTGCCTTAGCAACAGAAGAAGCCGAAATCCACTATGATCCCATGACTTTAAGCCATGACCATCTGTTAAACACCATAGAAGACACTGGATTCGAAGCCATATTGATTAGCACAGGAGAAGACGTGAGCAAAATACATTTACAAATCGATGGACCATGGAATGATGGTTCCATGCTAATCATCCAAGAATCTCTTCAAGCACTTCCTGGAGTTGAAAAGATTGAATTTGACACCAATCTCAAAAAGTGTTCCCTCTCTTACAAACCAGATTTAACAGGACCTAGAAACTTCATTCAGGTAATCGAATCAACAGGATCCGGATTCAAGGCCAAGATATTTCCTAAAGGAAACGGAAGGGATTCTCATAGACAAGAAGAAATCAATCAATACTACAAATCTTTCAAATGGAGTTTGGTTTTCACAATTCCAGTGTTCTTAACCTCCATGGTGTTCATGTACATCCCTGGACTCAAACACGGACTTGACACCAAGATTGTCAACATGATGACTGTAGGCCATCTTTTAAGATGGATATTATCCACCCCTGTTCAGTTTTTCATTGGTAGAAGATTCTACACTGGTTCATACAAATCATTGCGCCATGGTTCTGCAAATATGGATGTTCTGATTGCATTGGGAACAAACGCAGCCTACTTCTATTCAGTCTACTCTGTATTAAGAGCTGCAGCTTCACCACATTTTGAAGCAACCGACTTCTTTGAAACAAGTGCAATGTTAATCTCATTCATTCTTCTTGGAAAGTATCTGGAAGTTAAAGCAAAGGGAAAGACATCTGAAGCAATTGCAAAGCTCATGGACCTGACTCCTGATACAGCAACACTGTTGACTTTTGACACTGAAGGGAATGTTGTAAATGAAGAAGAGATAGACAGCAGGTTGATTCAAAGACACGATGTGATCAAAATCATCCCTGGTGCAAAAGTAGCTTCAGATGGTTTTGTTACATGGGGACAAAGCCATGTGAATGAGAGTATGATCACAGGTGAAGCAAGACCTGTTGGAAAAAGGAAAGGAGATACAGTTATTGGGGGGACAGTGAATGAAAACGGGGTTTTGTATATTAAAGCGACACGTGTCGGATCAGAAAGTGCACTTTCACAAATAGTTCAACTTGTTGAGTCAGCACAGATGGCAAAAGCTCCAGTTCAAAAGTTAGCTGATAGAATTTCCAAATTCTTTGTTCCTCTCGTTATTCTTCTTTCTTTTTCCACTTTTCTTGCATGGTTTGTTGCTGGAAAGTTTGATGGGTATCCGGAATCTTGGATTCCATCCTCCATGGATAGCTTTCAGCTTGCTTTACAGTTTGGAATCTCTGTTATGGTTATTGCTTGCCCATGTGCTTTAGGGTTGGCAACTCCAACTGCTGTCATGGTTGGGACTGGAGTTGGGGCTTCTCAAGGTGTTCTTATAAAAGGAGGGCAAGCGTTAGAAAGTGCACATAAGGTCAGTTATTTTTTTAAAACTTACATTTTAAAAAACATCAAACTTTTTTCTGATTGTTTTGGAGTAAATTATGCACAGGTGAATTGTATTGTGTTTGATAAGACTGGGACTCTTACAATTGGGAAGCCACTGGTTGTTAACACAAGACTCTTGAAGAACATGGTGCTTAGAGAGTTCTATGAATTGATTGCTGCAGCTGAGGTACCTTTTCTATATAATGTGATAATATTTTTCCCTTTTTTTTGGATAATTATATATTTTTGTTGTTGTAGGTGAACAGTGAACACCCTTTAGCCAAGGCAATTGTGGAATATGCCAAAAAATTTAGAGATGATGAAGAGAATCCGATTTGGGCAGAAGCACACAACTTTGAATCCATAACTGGACATGGTGTGAAAGCCATTGTCCACAACAAACAAATAATAGTCGGAAACAAGAGCTTAATCTTAAACAACGGAATCCCTATTTCCATTGACTCAGAAGAAATACTAACAGAAATCGAAGGGTTAGCCCAGACCGGAATCCTCGTTTCCATAGACAACCAACTCACCGGAATTCTCGCCATTTCCGATCCGTTAAAACCCGGTGCTCGTGAAGTCATCTCCATCCTCAAATCCATGAAAATCAAAAGTCTATTGGTCACCGGAGACAACTGGGGAACCGCCAATTCCATTGCAAAGGAAGTCGGAATCACCGATGTAATCGCCGAGGCCAAACCGGAGGACAAAGCAGAGAAAGTGAAAGAGCTACAAGGTTCGGGACTTGTGGTGGCGATGGTGGGAGACGGAATCAACGATTCCCCCGCTCTAGTTGCTGCGGATGTCGGAATGGCGATAGGTGCTGGAACGGATATTGCGATTGAAGCGGCTGATATTGTTCTTATGAAAAGTAATCTAGAAGATGTGATCACTGCGATTGATCTTTCGAGAAAAACGTTTACTAGAATCCGGTTGAATTACATTTGGGCTTTGGGGTATAACCTTCTTGGGATTCCGATTGCGGCCGGAGTTGTGTTTCCGTTCACGGGATTCCGATTGCCACCGTGGATTGCCGGAGCTGCTATGGCTGCGTCTTCGGTGAGTGTTGTTTGTTGCTCTTTGTTGTTGAGGAATTATAGAAGGCCTAGGATTCTTGAGACTTTGGAGATTCAAGGAATAACAACTGTTTGAATTTTGAATTTTTAACTTTGAATGTAAATATATTAGTGTTTTTGTTTACATGTATATATGTAAGATAAATATAGTTTTATCTATTTAAAAGTAGTATATTGTTTGATTCAAGTACTACAAGTTGAAATATGTTAAATGAAATAGCAACAAACTTTACTCTAGGTACGCCAAAAGATTGTGATTAAAAACATTCGCATTCACATAACATATGAATTGATTTTATTTGGTTACCTCAAGTTGCATAATTTCCTCAACAAAGTTAATAATGTGGAATTATGAAAAAGACATCATCTGTTTGTAATTAAACCTCCACCACTTTGGAGTCGACCAAATATGACATCCTTGTCTTTAGTCTATTACTTACTTTTTTTCTTATTTTTTCCAATACTTTTTTTGTATAACTGGGAAATAAATTAAAAGGAATATTAGATGGGTCTGGTCATGGTCTCATGGAACCCACCTACCCTCTACTTAAACTCGTCCATGCATTTATTATCATTCAAAGAACATCCAAAAAAAACCATTAAAAAAGAATTTCGACAAGTACTCTATTTTTAGTTTCTTACTTATATTATTGTGTATTTAACTTTTAAACTTAATTTATTATAGTTTATAAAAATTAAATCTACCTATATAAATGATCTACTTGTTTTAAGTTTTTATTTTTACCTTGTTGATATAAACGTTAATGTTTATTTGTCATGTTATCATTTTATTGTTGTGATTGCGTTATCATTTTTAATAATAATTAATACACACCCCCACCACGCACACACTCACACACAATTTGCCATAAAGTTTGACAAATGCTGATTTGAAACACGGTATTGCTCCAAATCCACCATTGACAAACATCGATACCTGGTTCCAACATTGCTGCAATTGACCAACTCCGATCTCTACAGGAATCTGTCAGCGAAATTCAGTTCACAGTCGTTGAATCCTCATCCATTTAACAGGTTAGTTACACTATTCCTTGATTTTTCGGAATTCCAATTCCATGGCTTACATCTGGACTGGAATAGATCTGAATTTCATGTCACTGTAAATTCAACGTCTTTGATTTTTTACTCTCCACTTTCGATTTATGCTTGAAGTAGTATCATCTTCTGAATTTTGGTCTTCCGGTGGAAAATTAACTGATTCTCAACACCTTTGTCTTGATAATCCTTTTCTTACTTCTTTGAAGCACTACAATGGTGTCCGATGGTGAAAACGAGCCATTTCTAACACTCGAACACGAACCTAAACCTCAGCCCGATTGTTTTGCTTCAACCAAAAGCAGAAAGTTAAAACGCTGCAGAAGCGCCCCCATGGTCGAACTTCCACAAGGATCCAAAATCGAACGCCTTTTAGAAAACCCAAAATCCATCTTTGATCAAATCAATCCACATCTCACGAGGGTAGCCATCTACTTATTCATATACCTGAGCATAAGCACGCTCTGCTTTTACCTCATGAGAAACCAGATTTCCGGAGATAAAACAAACGGCATTCTTGATTCGATCTACTTCTGCATCGTAACAATGACCACCGTCGGATACGGCGACCTTCTTCCAAACAGTGCCACCACAAAACTACTCGCCTGTGCTTTTGTATTCACCGGAATGGCACTCGTCGGAATCATTCTCAGTAAAGCCGCTGACAGTTTGGTTGAAAATCAAGAAATCTTGCTAGTGAAAGCATTTCATTTGCGTAAAAAAGCTGGAGCATTGGAAACCCTAAAAGAAATGGAAACTAACAGAGTGAGATACAGATGTCTAATCTTGTCCATCTTACTTATCGTCCTCATAGCTTCCGGGACAATCTTTTTAACCACAGTTGAGAAAATGGAGTTTGTTGATGCGCTTTACTGTGTTTGTTCCACCATTACAACTTTAGGGTATGGAGATAAGAGCTTTTCAACAACATATGGACGTGTTTTTGCTATATTTTGGATCTTGATGAGTACCATATGTTTAGCTCAATTGTTGTTTGCTTTTGCTGAGTTGTATACTGAAACTAGACAGAGGTCATTGGTGAAATGGGTTCTTACAAGAAGAACAACAGCTGCTGATCTTGAAGCAGCTGATCTTGATGATGATGGGGTTGTAGGGTATGTTCTAATTTCATCTAATGATTCTTTTTTTTTATAATTGTTTATTGAGTTTATTTTGGAAAAATTGTAGGGCTGCTGAATTTGCGATTTTTAAGTTGAAAGAAATGGGAAAAATTACTCAAGAAGACGTTTTGCTTATTTTGGAAGAGTTCAAGAGTCTTGATGTGGATGACTCTGGGACTTTGTCCGCTTCTGATATTTATATTGCCCAATCATAAAGATGAATAAGTTTAAAAGGAATCATGAAACTCCTACTCACCTTGTTTCAATTTCATGTATTTTTGGAGCCAAAAGTTGTAAACATGTTTGTTTGTGTATCTTCTTCTATAAATGTTGTAAAAAGCAAGTAAGATCTTGCTTCTTCTTTGGAAATTTGTAAAAAGGAATATACAAGGTTGTTTGGACATGTTTTGATTCTATGTAAATCTTAAATGTTTGATGTTTTACACAAAGCAGTTTGAATTTTATGGTTAGTTAAAGTCATCTGTTTTGCCTTTTATTATCCCAATAGATCAATTCATATGTTACATGTTGGACACATTGCACATTTGTTAGACTATTTATAAACGGTTTGAAAATCCAAACATTGTCTTAGAAATAGATTTAATCATTCTCAATCGAATGTACCAATAGATTATCAATTAATCATAATGGGTATATCAGTCAAATTCATATGAGGCAAAAGAACATTGAAAGACAATCTACCCCAACACTTTGATATTGTAGTACTAGATCTTATTGGTAGATGATTTATGGTTTTATGTGCTGCTACATGATAGCTTCATTTTGATATACAATACTCAAAAAGGGGTGGTGTGAATGAGATATTGTTCTTCAAAATTTTGTGGAAAAATTAAAAGAGTATAGAAGTCCGAAACACTTTATATAGCAAGATATAAATCGATTAAAATTGTATCTTTTTAGTTGTTGGAGTATAATCCGAATTCCATTATTGGAATCTTTTTCGGGAGTTGATTACTTGATTTCCAAGTTTATTAATTCTATGTGATTATTTATTTTAGGATTTTTAAGAGATTTAAAATCCTCTTTAAAAGGCTATAAATAGAACCTTTCTAGTCATAGTTTTTTTTTAATCATTCATTTATCTACCATGTAGCTAAAGCATCTAAGATGTGTGTGTTTGTGCTTAATAATAATAATTAATCTAGCTAATTAAATTTTAATGATGGTTACATAATCTTGAAATTTTTTATTAAATGAATAAAGGTTGAGTGATGTCACATCTTCGCCCTCCCTTTATTTTTCCCTGATTGTGTTGCCATTTGCTCTCGAATTCCTTTTTGGTATTCAAAGAGATACTCATGAATTTCATCAAAATAAGGTGTAGTCGCACTCCTAACGTCTTCAATCCACTTTTTCACTTTCTTGTAAGGGCTTAATATACGATGGTAATCCTTCTCACCCAAAAGCTAAACACAAAAACTATTTAGTTACAGTAAACATAACATATATAAAGCTTTTTGTAACATTAATTTATATAAGATTATATACCTCAAGTTGCATGACTTCACATGATAAACTGAGATCCGCAATTGATGGTTGAGAGCTTCCACCCAAAAAGCTTCCATCTAATTTTAACCAAACATTTTCTAATTCAGACAAAGATCTCAGGAGTATCTCTTCAGCTTGAATGACTATCTGAAGGAATGAACGGAGGTCATTTAGTGGTGCCAGGATGGTGGTGTATACAAGTCCAGCTGGCAACCATGCAAATTATATATGATTAAAAATCTTATCTTCTTAATTCCCTACAATTATTAATTATAAAAATAGTACTATCACCTGCACCACGACGTAAATGGGAATGATGCCAATCTAAAATGGAATGGATCTTAGCTCTCTTTTGTGTATCACCAGGATACCTATTATATTCATGCATTATATATATATATATATATATATATATATATATATATATATATATATATATATATATATATATATTTATTCATGTTTTAAGAAGAAAACATACTCACCAGTGGCTAGCCACTCCAGGAAATGAACAACATAAGTAGATAAGAATCGCATGACTACAAATCACAACATAAAACTAACGAATCGATAGATAGGTAGATAGATATTGAGGAGTTGTATATATATGATCATGAGATGCAAAAAGAACCTTTCAATCAACTTCAAATGTCCATCAACTATTGCTGGAATTTGGCGCATGGGAGCTATTGCTACATAAAACAAGATAGTTTTGTCAGGTTTTTAAATAATCACTTATTTTGATACAAACTCCTTAATTATGTTAATGAGTGCAAAAGGTGTCAAACAAACCTCCATATTCTTTGGAGAATTGCTGGCCTTTCAAGACCTCTACTTGAATTTCCTCAAAATCTATCCTGTTTATCCTTCAAATAAAGGCCAGAAATGATTATTATATAAATGATATTTGCAGATACACAAGTAAAGTTATAAGAAATGACTAAAACTAACGAAGCAAAGTCTTATACGTACGACTAATAATTTTCAAAAAGTCGAATTAAAAAGGTAACTGAAATTGCGCAAATTGATACACAAAAAAGGGGTTTTTTTTTCTACTATAAATGTCAGTCAAACTAATGAAAGAAACTATAGCGGCAATTTCAGAAATATAACCCAACATGTTTGACTCATCTTAAAATGCATGGTTGCCTCAATCTATTAATTGCTTCAATACTTGTAGTCAGTGATCACAAATCAATTAAGAACGAAATGGTTGGTGTTTACTATCGAGGAAGATGACAGAAAGGGCATTTCATGTAAATAGTAATTAGCAGAAATTAAGAGGAAAGAAAATAAATTACTTACTTGCAGAAGATGATAACTGCACGAGATGGTTCAGAAATTCGATGACCATATACTTTCAGCACCATGTTAGTTTCACTCTTTCTCAGAATCAATGGCGCATGCACAGATCAAATCAAATGTTTGGAGCTTGATTTATAGAAGTTGAAGCCGATTTAATAATTAATATGCATGGATCCAGTTGTAATTAAAATGTTCAACAGTATTGGAAGATCTTTGATATCTTATGTGGCACGACACCAATGAGTCAGCTTTCGAACGTGGGACTCATTCTTCAAGAAATAGATACAGAGACTTTTATTACTTATTAATGAAAAAAATATTATTATTAGTAAGATTTGCCTCAGTTTGTGAGTAAATATTTTAGTCGACAAGAAATGAAAAATAAAACTTGCAGATTTGTTGCTGTACTACTGATTACTATTGTGGATAGCAATTAAAACTAGGGAACATGGTTGTTGTTAATTAATTAACACGCATAGGTTTATGTGATTCAATACTGGCAGAATTTTTTATGGTTTGTGATTTAGGGACTCTTTGGTAAGTCTATTAACGGTTTCGAAGGCAACCTCTTAATGGATTCAGTAACCCTACAATCAAAGCCGGTCCTGAGGATTTAAATATTTTTAAATGCACACGACGAACTAGAAAAAAAGCCTTTGTCCCTATTATAAGTTATACTAGACGAATTCCCGCGCGTTGCGCAGCGAAGATTAAAAATATATTGTTAAAATATTAAAAAATATATGTTTAAAATGGTTATCTTATTGACATTAACTTTGAGATAATATTTTTACACTAATATATATATATATATATATATATATATATATATATATATATATAATCGCTATTATTTTGAACAAGAATATTCATTGACAGCAACCCACATTCTTCATTATATATATATAACTAGATATATATATATATATATATATATATATAGATATATATATATTATATATATATATATATATCTATATCTATATATATATATATAATCTCTATTATTTTGAACAATAATATTCATTGACATCAACCCACATTCCTCATTAATATAATTAAATATAATTATCTATTTAGTATTATTTTTAACAATTATTATTATTGATTAATTATATTTTTACTTATGCGATCATTTTCTAATTTCAATAATGATGTTCATTTAAAATACAATTTATTTATAGCTAAATGTAATTTATAATTTGATGTTATTATTATTTAAAATTGTTATTCATTAGTTTTAAACCACTTATTATTAATAATAAGTTAAAGAAGACTTTTAAGAAACACTTAATATTATTATTAAAATGTGAAACATACACTAAATAATAAAGTGATAAGATAGACAATTTACATTTCAAAAGAGACTTGCATGGATAATATGGCATATCCATGTAATTTGATTTTATTATTTGTAATTATTGCTTATTAATTTTAAAACCACTTGTTATTATTAATAAGTGAAAGAAACTTTTAAAAAACACTTATTGTTATAATTAAAATGTTAAACATATACTAAAATATAAAGTGATAAGATAGACAATTTGCATTTTAAAAAAGACTTACATGGATAATATGACATATCCATGATTTTTAATTAATTATTGTTTTGAAGCAACATGAACATACAAACATGTATACAATAGTTAATTAAATATTATATATCATCTTCCATAACATATGATCGATAACATGAATCTAATCTAATTTACATTAAAATTTCAACCACAACATACAATGATATTCTTAAAAGAATACTTAAATCAAGAAGATACAAAAAAGAATTAGTATATAACAAACTTACAAATTAAAAACTTCAACATAATAACATGGCTCGAAAAATTGTTCAAAGCCCTCAAACCAACACAAAAAACTTTAAACTTGTTTTCTTTGTGAAATTTGTATGTGATTTGTATTTGTGTGTCTACTCAAAAAGATTGACTTTTTTATAGTAGAGTATCCATTAATTGTTTATTAAATATATTATATAAGTTATAAAAGCTTTGAATTTTTAATCATTATTAAGAGACTTTTGAGTGGTATTCATTAAAATAGGAGGTTTCAAATGCATGAGGTGTTTGCAAAATTTTATGGGGGTTTCAAATGCATGAGGTTCAAGGAAAAATGCTAGCTTTATAAGTATGTATGATGATATGAAATATAAAGTGATAAGATAGACAATTTGCATTTTAAAAAAGGCTTACATGGATAATATGGATAATATGACATATCCATGATTTTTAATTAATTATTGTTTTGAAGCAACATGAACATACAAACATGTATACAATAGTTAATTAAATATTATATATCACCTTCCATAACATATGATCGATAACATGAATCTAATCTAATTTACATTAAAATTTCAACCACAACATACAATGATATTCTTAAAAGGATACTTAAATCAAGAAAATACAAAAAAGAATTAGTATATAACAAACTTACAAATTAAAAACTTCAACATAATAACATGGCTCGAAAAATTGTTCAAAGGCCTCAAACCAACACAAAAAACTTTAAACTTGTTTTCTTTGTGAATTTTGTATGTGATTTGTATTTGTGTGTCTACTAAAAAAGATTTACCTTTTTATAGTAGAATATCTATTAATTGTTTATTAAATATATTATATAAGTTATAAAACCTTTGAATTGTTAATCATTATTAAGAGACTTTTGAGTGGTATTCATTAAAATAGAAGGTTTCAAATGCATGAGGTGTTTGCAAATTTTTATGGGGGTTTCAAATGCATGAGGTTTAAGGAAAAATGCTAGCTTTATAAGTATGTATGATATATATATATATATATATATATATATATATATATATATATATATATATATATATATATAATATTATATTATATTATATAATAATAATAATAATTGGGTCCTATTAAACTGCCTACGGAATAATAATTATAAATAGTTGTTTGTCGTGTAATAATTATATGTCGTCAATAATGTAAGAATAGTAATAGTGTAAGTGAGTCAATAATGTAAAATATATGTCTGTCGTGTTTTGCAATCATACGATTGCAATAATGTAAATCAGTTTGTATCAGACTCTTGAAGAGTCTACCCCCCTCAATACTCCCATGCCTGCGATGGGTGCTTAGCAGTTGAGGAGTGAAATTCTGATGTTCAAACCCTGACACACCCAAAATATTGAGTGAGCCTATGGGGCAGGTTCACGTGGGTCGATTAGATGGTGCGGTTACCATTAAGGCGTTTGGCTAGGTTAAAATTACCTATGAACCGTTAAAAGCACCACTTAATCACTCATCGCCTACGCGCCTCTGAACCATTCATTTGTCTTCGTACATGGCAACTCAACAAATTATAATTCCAAAGTTGTTTTTTGTTAGAAGGTTAAAATGGTAATCTTTTTTCATTCATCATATCCGTCTAACAACTTTACCAAACATCAGTTGCTCTAGGCCTCTATTCATTCAGACATTTTAGTGGTTCAACATTGAATCATTTGTTTTCTACCAAACTGACCATAACGCTGTGTTCTTGAGTTAAATTTTTTAAGAGGGGAAGGAAAAGGAAGTAAAGGATATGGAAGGAGAAAAAGAAAGTAGTCTCTGCGTTCTCCAGTTGCAAGGGAAAGGAAAGGGGTGGGTGTCAAATAATAGTTTCACCCTCTATTAGGATATAGCTTGAGTGAGCACCAAATGAATAAAGAAGGGTAAGGATGGTCTTTTCTTCATTTCCTTCCCAATCCGCCCAAATATGAGCAGAAAGAGACCAAACTTTCTTGCTTCAATCCTCTCCTCACATTTCCTTTCCTTTCTCTCCTTGAAAAAAAAATTAAGAACACACTTCTCCCTCTCCATCCTCTCATTTCATCCCCTTTCTCTCCTAAAAAAACTCAAGAACAAGGTGTTAGTTATTGTTTGTTAATTTGTTTTAGTATTGTCATTGTTTTTCTTTTATTTTTATACTTGATGTTTATAAAATTATATCAATAAAATTTTGATATACGAATCCATATTGAAAATTCACATATTCAAATTTCGGATACACATGCGGATATACAAATCAACCATCTGAAATTTGAATATCCCATTTAAAGTGTATGTGAGATGTTTCTTAAGGGTTAATGCCATTATTCTAACAAACTTTTACAATATCCCATTTAAAGTGTATGTGAAACAGTTTTTTGAGTATTCATCAAAGCGATGCAAAGTTGTAATGATAATGATAACATGTAAAATCTTAAGAAGAAGAACGATTCACCAAAGCATAATGTTTCTGATGATGAAACGAAAGAAGTAAATCATTTACATGTTACATTACGTTATCTATTCAACAAACAACAAGGTTTATTAAGAAGATAAAATTAAGTGATTATGATTCATATACCCTTATGTGTCATCTCACATCTTTGACTTTGATCTTGCATTATTTTTCCCATAATGTATCACCATTTTCTCTCGAATCCCTTTTTGGGGATTCAAAGAGAAGCTCATGAACTTCATCAAAATAAGGTGCAGTTGCACTCCTTGTGTCTTCAATCCATTTCTTGACTTTTTTGTAAGGGCTTAAGATCCTATGGTAATCCTTCTCGCTCAAAAGCTAAACACATACAACAAAAAAAGAAGAAGTTACAATTAACACAACATAAGTGAAACATTTTTTTTAACATGTTGCTATGATTACCTCAAGTTGCATGACTTCACATGCTAAACTGAGATCTGCAATTGAAGGTTGAGAGCTTCCACCCAAAAAGCTTCCATCTTTTAACCAAACATTTTCTAATTTAGACAAAGATCTCAACAGAATCTCCTCAGCTTGAATGATTATCTGAGGATATGAACGCATGCCATTTAGTGGTGCTAGGATACTGTTGAATACAAGTCCAGCTGAAAGTATATAAAAAAATGTATATATAAAAAAAAGAAAAAGCATTCCCGATATCTACAATATATAATTTTAAAAACAACTACTAATTAATTTAATTACTTATCACCTGCACCACGTCGAAGATAAGAATGATGCCAATCTAAAATGGAGTGGATCTTAGCTCTTTTGGCTGGATCACCAGGATACCTATGCATGTAATAAACTAATAAATTTATGCAATTAAAATTAAATAAATAAATAAACGACCTACCAGTGACTAGCTACTCCTGGAAACGCACAACATAAGTAGATAAGAATCGCATGACTGCAAATCACAACATAAAACAAATGAATCGATAGATAGATACTGAGGATTTGAATATCATGTAAAAGATGTAAAAAGAACCTTTCAAACAACTTCAATTGTCCATCAACTATTGCAGGAATTTGGTTCATGGGATTTATTGCTGCATAAAACAAGAGTGGTGAAACCCTTTGCACTTACTATCTATCTCGTGCTTCAGTTAATGAACGAATGAAGAAGGTATAAAACAAACCTTTATATTTTGGGGAAAATTGGTCACCTTTCAAGACATCTACAAGAATTTCCTCAAAATCTATCCCGTTTTTTCTTCAAATAACATCCAAAGAGGGCATAAGGTATACACAGAATTTAATTGGATAAAGAATCGAGTTAACCATAAACAAGTAGAATTAAAAGAAACTAGTCAAATTACTGAAACTAACGAAGCAAAGGCAGATACAACATAGTATCTACACAGATTCATTGAGAAAATCTAATTCGATTTGCAGAAATTGATACAAAAGAGTTTTTTTTTTTTTTTTTTTTTTTTTTTTTCTAGTTGAAATGACAGCCAAACTAAAGAAAGAAACTAGAGTGTAAATTTTAGCAATAGTTCTAGAGATTTAAACCAAACCCAACATGTTTCACCAATCATGAAAAGGTTACCACAATAACCTAATTGCTTCAATACGTATACTCATTCACAGAACAAGAACAAAATAAAATGGTGTCGATCGGAAGATTATAGATGGAAGATGAAAGATGAAAGAAAGGGTATTTGTAAATACAAGTTAATTTATGAAATTAGCGAAAAGGGTAAAGGAAAAAAGTTACTTGCAGAAGATTAGAACTGCACGAGTTGGTTCGGACATTCGATCACCATATACTTTCAGCGCCATGCTTCTCTCTCCCTCCCCCAGGAAATGAAGCACGGGTCAAATCTTCAGAGCAAATTGAAGCTTTGATTTGGTTTTACCAAGGAAAAACCACAACACTGTCAACACAAGATTATTAGATAAGAATAAAAATAAAATCTATAATAGGCCTTATATAGGTTATTCGCTTAACCTGGAAAAATAACAAAACCCAAACCAATAAGATTATCTTTATTCGGTTAACCCTAAACCGAACAACTCAAATCTCATTTGGTTCAAATGGACTATTTTGGTTTCGGTTTCTTTTACATCCCTACCAATAGTTAACAAACAAACAATGTCAACTACTCATACTTGAGTCCCATGCCTCATGTATGCAGCAGGTAACATACGAAAGTAGTACGAAAGATGTTAGCCATTTAGGTGGTGTTTATTTTGGAAGAGGTAAAATGACTTTGGAATTTTTTCAATGTCTGGGGAATAATACGTAGACCAAAAGTATTTTTCCATGTCTTTAGTATTCATAAACAAAAAATCATTTGTTTTTAAAGTCTTCATTATAAAGATCGATGTTGTTAGTAATGGCGGTAATGGTGGTGTCAGTGTTGGTGGTGGCGGATGTAGTTGTGGTGGTGATGTCGGAGGTGGGGGTGGTGGTGATGGAGGTGGGATGGTAACCAAGGTGGCGGTGGCGGCGGTGATTATGGAAAAAGAAATACCACAATATGGTTAAAACGTTGCAAACCTCTTCCAAATTCGTAAGGTTTTTTTTTTTTTTTTGTCTTCATGGAAAGAGGTCAAAAAGTCTTTTTTATGTCTTGACTACTAAAAAACAAATAGTTTTTTTTTTTTTTTTTTCTAAAATGTGTTTCCTTCCACAGACATAGTCAAAAAGATTTTTTTTTGCCAAAAAATAAAAATAAACACCACCTTAATGTACATACGAACACAAGTTTTTGCCAAAATTTGATCAAAAGAACTTTGATCATAGATGTGTTTTCGAACTTCAAAACACAATGACACACAAGAGCTTATAAAATTCTAGTGACAAGCTATACTAACAAATTTCTAAATACATAGAAAAAAAAAATCAAACTAAGTCTAGCAAAGTGGATTTCATAAAATCCGGTATCGAGAATTTTTTTGTTAAACTTTTACAATACAGTTTCTACAAATGGACAAGTTATTAATTACCAAGTGTTATCATTAAATTCATTTTAGATTTTTGGACTTACATGTTTTGATTATTTTTGTGGGTTCTTCATGACATTTTAGTGATCATATTTCCCTTTACAACAGGACTCTTATTATAATAGAAAATGACCAAAATAGCCACTTTCCTTAATGTTTTGCCAAAATTTCACATATTACTCAAATAATCACACATTCGAGTCCTATACTCCTATAGCGACGTTGATTCCCCATATGTATCAAATTTTACTCAATGCAGAAAAAGTCTGTGTTGCCATCTGCCCTCGAATTCTTTTCTGGGCTTTAAAGAGAAGCCCATGAACTTCATGAAAATGAGGCCCCGTTGCTTTCTTTGTATCTTGGATCCACCGAAGAACTTTCTTGTAAGGGCTTAATATCCGATCAAAATCCTTATCACTCAAAAGCTGACAATCAAAATTTTGTACTTTGATCAAGATTTACCCAAAAAAAAAAATGTCACATAACATGTATAGATTGATTGATTGATTTTATATATATGATCACCTTACCTCAAGTTGCATGATATCACATACTAAACTGATATCTGCAATCGATGGTGAGAGCTTCCAACCAAAAAGCTTCCATCTTTTAGCCAAAAAGTTTCTAATTTATACAAAGATTTCATGAGTATCTTCTCAGCTTCTTTGGCTGCTTGAGGGCTTGAAGGGAACCCTTTTGGTGCCATGATCGTGTTCAAAATAAGTCCAACTGAACCACGATGTAAATTGGAATGATGCCAGTCTAAAACAGAGTGGATCTTAGCTCTTTTGGATACATCGCTAGGATACCTATACATCAATCAATGGAGTTTATTCAAGTTTGGGATTTGTATGCAGAGATATTGAAGGAGAAGAAAACCAGACTTACCAATGATTAGCAACTCCAGGAAACGAACAAGATAAGTAGATAAGAATCGCATGACTATAAACCACAACAAATTCACGTAATGAAAATGGAGAGTTTATTATGTATAAGTATAACATAAACTTAAGAAACAGAAGTGAAGAACCTCTCAAACAGCTTAAAGTGTCCATGAACTATTGCTGGAACTTGAGACATGGGATTTATTGCTGCATAAATCATGACCTATGTAAAGTTTGTATGAATGTTTTGTAGTTTTCATATGAACTTATTAGCACAAATCAATGCAGATGGTATGGTAACAAACAAACCCTTATATTCAGGGGAGAATCGCTGATTTTTCAAGACCTCTACTTGGATTTCCTCAAAGTCGATCCCAATTATCCTTCAAATAACATCCAAATAAAAACAAGCCACGATTTTTGACAAGCATCAGTTAGAATATCACTTGCGCAGTGATAAAGAAAACCTAACTGGAACTAACGAAAAAAAGACACCGAATATAAACGATGAATTAACTTGAGCAATTAACTAATAGCTTCAATTGGTGTATTCCGAAAACGAAGAACAAAACCTTTGGTATTACTAATTCAGTCAGAAAACTAAAATCGGATGATGAAAGAAAATGCAATTGAAAATCAAATGAAGGGTGTAATTTACTTGCAGAAGAGGAGGACAGAACGAGATGGTTGGGAGAGGCGATCAGCATATACTTTCAGCACCATGTTTTCTCTGTGTCTAGATCGAGCTTTGATTTGGATCTAGTAAATTAAAGCCTTCGACTTTTAAGTACATATATTTTGACTCTTTTGCTACTCAAAATGTTCTTTTTTTTTTTTTTTTAAATCTAAAACGTGGTGTTCACAAAAGATAAACATTAATCAATAAAAATAAACTAGTTAATTAATAATAAAACCACTAAGCAACCCAACAATTATTGCAGAAGTTTATTCGAACATGCATTGATTATTTTGACAACTAAACTCTTCCATAACGACATTTCGTATCAAAATGTGAAAGAACTCATCTCATTTTCGTGAAAATTAGAATGTAATATAATGTATTTTGTTTTGTTAATAACCTTGATCCGTTGTGCATAACGCCAAAACATATTTTATATAAAATAATGTTTGTTTAAAAAAAATTGTTGTCTATGTTGGTAACACTTGGAGAGGACTTTTAGGGTGTTGGAATAAGAACTTCTACATAACATTTGAATGTTTGAATTCAAGAGGCATAATTGAAGAACTCCATGTGTATTAAAATGTAACAATGATATTGCATTACCTTATAACGTTTATTGCAAGTTAAGACATATCATATTCATATATCAACATTACAAGTTATATTATACACAAGTCAAACGAATTTATTCTTTAAAATAGAAAAGATTAAATGATCTTGATATTACAACTTGGACTTCAATTCATCCTTCCTAGATTCTGATGTCATCCGCTCCTGTATCCTTTTTTTGGGATTTAAAGAGAATCCCATGAACTTCATCTAAATGAGGTGTGGTCGTTTTCTTTGTATCTTCAATCCACCGAAGAACTTTCATGAAAGGGCTTAATATTCGATGACATTCCTTCTCACTCAAAAGCTAAACAATTTTTTTTTGACTTTTTAATTAAGAATTAGCTAACAAGATAAACTCATAAACTCATTGTTAGCCCATATGGGCTCCTTTTTATCTAGTCCTTTGGCCCATTAGCCTTAGGGTTTTGGTATTTATTCTATTGTTCATGTTTTGTAGCTTTAACACTTTCTAACGAAGAACTAGCACTTTTCTCTTTTTCAATATGAATGTTGTTCTATTATCATGGTATCAGAGTAGTGAGTTCCTCAGCCATAACAACCTCTCTATGCGATGCAGGTTCAGACAGATGATGGATGTTGACTATAAATGAAGCAAATGAACCGGAGTGTGTAGAGTAAGCAAAATCTGGAAGCTTGGAGGACAAGTAGACCTTCTGAGGGGTAGTGGAGGTGGGTCTTCAATCTCAACAATCGAAGGGGCAGACTCAGGAACAAGAGTTGAGGAACTCTATGAAGAAGTGGTTGTGTCATGAACCGAAAGATCAGGCGGCATAGATGAATCTCGAGCCTCTATATCCACATCAAAAGTATCAATTTGCAGAAGATCTGACTTCGTTACATTATGGGTTGTAGCAGGATTCGAGTTGAAGGGAATATGTTCCAAAAAGGTGTCATGTCGGGAAACATATAATTTCCGACTCATAGGATAATAGCAACAATATCTTTTTTGTCCAACACCATACCCCAAAAATACACAAATAGCATATTTCGGCCCCAATATGTTCCTCTCAACACGAGGACGAAGAACAAAACTAGTACATCCAAAAACCCGTAGAGCAGAATGGTCTAGTAGGTGACCACATAGCTTCTCAAAAGGAGACACTCCTGAATTCAGTGCAGTAGGGATACGATTAATCATATAAACAACAGTTAAGAGTGCTTCTCCCCAAAAGGTACTAGGGACCTACGCAAACAAGAGCAATGAGCGGCTGTGTCATCAATATGACGATGTTTTCGTTCTGCCACACCGTTTTGCTGAGGAGTGTCAGTAAACGATGAATGATGTATGATATCATCAGAAACAAGTAATTGAGTAAAATCATTAGAGGTATATTCACCCCCCCCCCCCCAAGTCACACCTGAAACACTTTATCACAAGCGAATGTTGAATTTTAATAAGAGCTCTAAAATTGTTGTAAATGCCAAGGAAATTATATTTGTGTTTCATAAGATAAACCCAGGTATAGCGAGTATAATCATCTATATACATAATATATCGAACCACCCTTTGTGGATACCGGTGCAGGACCCCACACATCAGAATGAATAATATCAAAAAGAGAAATAGAACAAGACATACTTTTAGTGAAAGCTAAAGCAGAGAATTTTGCCAATCTACAACCACTACAATCAGAAATATCACAAATATTCAAATAACCCAAAACACCACTAGATGCTAGAAAACGTAAACTTGATACAAACACATGTCCCAAACGAGAATGCCAAAGATAAAACTGAGACGAAAAATGACTCAAACAAAAAGATTACAAATCAATGTCAGAGGCAGCAACAACAGACACTTTAAGAACCTCCAAGACATATTGTTCCCCCACCCTACGGCTAATCGTAATCACCTTCTGGGTGTGTTGATCTTATATAAAATAGACATAATCAGAAAAGAACACCCAACTACCAGACTTACATAACTGACTAACCGAAGCAAGATTCAATGTGAGTTTAGGAATTTAATAAACATCAGGGAGAGAAATATGAAGGATAGAAACAAACCCAACACCCTCAACTAGCATAGATGTATCACTAGCACACCTAACAGAGATAAATAACATGTGTGACATAGAAATAAACGATGACAAATAAATAGACATGTGATGGGTTGCACCAGAATCTAAAATCTACAAAGATGTGGGAATACCTGAGGTACCAGATGAAGTAGGACCAGAATGAGCGTAGATGCAGACATAACAGTAGGATTAGTGGCCAAATACTGTCTGAAACTCTCAAAAACCTTGGGATCCAACGTAGAAGGTGACATGTTGCCAACAGACTTAGTGGCAACCGGTGGCGTAGCAGCAACAACAAACTATGGAGGGCAATGTGTCCATGGATGAGCACCAGAGGAACGTGGTTGAAACTTCTGCTGAGCAGATTTATGTTGTTGTCCTTATTGACTAGACTTAGCTTTGTTAAGTAACAATGAAAACTGAGCTTCCAATGATTTTTCTGTTTGTGGAAGGCACGCTCATCATAACCAACCCTTGGATCTTGTCGAGACAGATCATTGGGAACAACAAACACAACATGTAGCATCCTGATGATGAGTTATTTCCAATTTTAACCCTAAGTATAAATAATATTTTCATTTTAGCCCTTATGTATGGAAAGTGTTGCAAAGTGGCCCATAATGGCATTTTTTTAAATTATGGGCGGAGCTCACGTACGTTGGGCATACAGATTGGTACGCTGGGTGTACGTTCCAAAACCTCAAACCATAATTTTTAGGGTTTGGACCCTATAAAAGCATAATTAACTCACCAATGCTCATTCCCTCACCAGCCTCTAGCCCTCATTTCGTCCATGGCAACCCTAATCTCTTGTCCGTGTTCCTTTGAGCTTGAAAGTGTGTGTTTATGGTGTCTTTGAAGCAAAGAGAAGAGAGAAGCACCAACTTGGAAGATCAAGACCTCATAGATCCAGAAACACCTCACCTCCAAGCTTCATTTTGAGGCATAAAGTTCTGAACTTGATGATCATATCTCTATATCTTATTTATGTTAGAAGTTTATGCTTATTAGCCCCATATTCTTCGTCTTTTTGGGTATGACCTACCCTTTCCGTTCATATAAAGATCGTCGAAAATAGAGTTGAAACGAAGAAGTTATGACTGTTTGAAGTTGGAGTGAAATTGGATGAAAACCCGTCGTCACGAGGTGACAAGCAGGCTGTCACGAGGTGAAAACTGTGCAACCCAAGCGCACAGTTTTTTAAGGTTTTCAAGGTATTTAAAGGTAATGATTCATATTTTATGGTATCCATCGTATATAGAACCCCTCTGGGAGAAACCCCCCTCTCATCTCTCCTCTTTTGGATGTTTTTTATGATATTTTGATAAAGCTTAAAGATCAAGAAGATTCTTTTGGTTGCAAGGAGAGAGAGAGAGAGAGAGAGAGAGAGAGAGAGAGAGAGAGAGAGAGAGAGAGAGAACGTTTTCTTTGTTAAACGTTTTTTAAAATTAAATAAATAATAAAAACAAATAATAAAAATTTAAAAAAATAAGAAATGGTAAAATAGTCTTTTTAGGTTGTGTAGGACCAAACGCGCAACAAAATTACATCTTAAGGACCGTCCGAGTTAAAAAAATTAAGTAGGGACCAACCGCAAAGATTAATCCAAACCACAAGGACCATTCGCATAATTTGCTCAAGAAATTACATAAACTAACGAAGAAGCAAGGTCTTTTACAACGTATAATTTTCAAAAGACAAAGCTGCACAAATGGTCCTTGTGATTAGCTGAAAATTGCCACTTTGGTCCAAAAAGGTTTGGACTAGCACCAGAGGTCCAAACTTTTCATTTTGTTGCGAGTTTGGTCCAGTTTTCTATAAACTTTTTCATAATGACTATTTTGCCCTTATTTTTTTTTCCTTTTCGGTTTTTATTATTTAAATACTTTTTTTTAATAAGAGAAAAAATAAAAAATAAAATTTGCATTTTCTATTTTATTTTTATAATTTTTTATAACAAAATAAAAAAAATAAAAATGAAATCTCTCTCTCTTTCTCTCTCTTTCTCTCTCCCTCTCTATCTCTCTCTCTCTCTCTCTAACGTCACAAATCTCTCTCTTATTCTCATTCATATCCTACCAGTCAAAGGAGGTGGTTATCCCTCCTCCTTCTTCTTCTTCATTTTTGAGCAAGAGAACTCCACCGGAAGTGGAGCTGTTTTCTGGCCACCAAGAAAGACCCACCATCACCGGTGCCACCTCCCTCTCCCTTCCTCCGCTATTTTTTCCCTTCCGAGAACAACCCACCACTTCACCACTCACCACCACTGTAACCACCGAAAACCATCACTCCAACCACCCACTTCCTTCTGTTCTGTCAAACAAACACCAACAAAAATCCCCCGCTACTGCTGCAGTCGGAGTTCTTCCTCAGCCACCGCAAGATACCACCATCTCTAATCTCTTTTTTTTATGTTGAATTGGAACGAGCTCAAGCTCCAACCATCGCCTCGATGCCCTCCCTCTCGTTGAGCTCGTCGGAACAGCAAGGAACGAAGCAGCAGAAGCCGCCGGAGCACCCTGCCAACACCGACGCCAATGTTGTGGAACCACCGTCGCTTATTGATGCTGTGGAACGAAGCAGCAGAAGCTGCCAGAGCAACCCCATGTGTCTTCCCCTCGATTTCCTAGTCATTAAACGCCCCATTTGAAAACCCTAGCCGCCAAGAAACCCTAACTTTCAGATCTCGATCTCCTTTCTCTCGTGGAGGTTCAAATGAAGGGCAACAACGATCGAAGCGGGTGTTTGGGGTGGTGCTACCTGATCTCGATCTTCTTTGGCCGGTGGTAATCAAGAAACGAGAGAGAGAGAGAGAGAGAGAGAGAGAGAGAGAGAGAGAGAGAGAGAGAGAGATTTCATTTTTATTTTTTTTATTTTGTTATAAAAAATTATAAAAATAAAATAAAAGATGCAAATTTTCTTTTTTATTTTTTCTTTTAATCAAAAAAAGTATTTAAATAATAAAAAACTAATAAAAAACTGAAAAAAATAAGGGCAAAATAGTCATTATGAAAAAGTTAATAGAAAACTGGACCAAACTCGCAACAAAATAAAAAGTTTGGACCTCTGGTGCTAGTCCAAACCTTTTTGGACCAAAGTGGCAATTTTCAACTAACTATAAAGATCATTTGTGCAGTTTTGTCTTTTCAAAAAGTCGGTTAGAAAACTAACTAGGGGTTGTTTGATTTGGATCTGAGGGTCCAGTCAGAGCATTTTGCTGACATAGTCCAAGTCAGCCCGTTTGATTTCTCTAAAACCACATCTGACTCGGTCATTTATGTCTGGCCCAGTCCTTGAAAAAAATCATACTGACCGAGTAAGCATCACATTTTTTTCTTTTGTGCCCTTGATACCATCGATAGACATCCATCGCAGCTTCACTTTCGCCACTACTTCAACCTTCAGCGGCATCATCTTCCTCCGGTATTCCATCAGTTTCCTCCCGCATCGCCTCCCCATCGACTTGTCGCCGACATCCAGAACTTCTGCAATTGCCGACCAAGCTTCTTTAACACATTATTATCGCCGACGCATCTCAGAGACTCCGACTTCGTCACAATTTCTCAGGTAAACAACTACAAATGCAATCGTCTCATCCTCTCTGTCTGATTATTTCTGTTCAAGAACTTGCCCATCCCTTTTCTCTGATTTGTAGTTCGTGGATTTGCCCCAATTTTGAACACAGATCACACAAGGCACTTCGTCTCCTTCTTAACCCTCTGTAAATTATTCTTAATCCTTTGAGTTCTAATTAAATATATAGACTCCATCATAAATATAATGTATCAACCAATTATCCTTTTTAGGATTTTTGCAATACCCAAACTTGATATTAACATCAGTGGGTGGAAGAAGTAGAAACTGCATTCTAACCAGAAACTTGATTTTTTATTTTTGTTCTTTGTTGATTGTTGGATAACAGGTGAAAGTTCCAACTTTGGATTGGTGATAAAGAAGAAGAATTTCAATGAATGTTAGGGGCTGTGAAGATGGTAGTAAAGCTATAAAAGTATGAGTTTGAGATCCTATTCTTGTAGCAATTTCTTGTAAGAATGGCCAATATCTTGTAGAAATTACTTGCTGCAAACACTCTCAAACAGTATTGTTTTGTTGTTTGTATTTATTAATTGTCATAATACAAATTGTTGGTTGACGAGTCTGATGTATGTACATGATGTATGTACAGAGTGAATCCAAGGTACTTGAAAAATGTTGATAAGTTATGTAAAACCAGAAATGTGTGTATATTTGTGGGTATGTGAAAAATGTTGTATGAGGGCAATACAGTCATTTTGTAAAGTCAGTTAGATACAAAATCAAACAACAATTTTCAATTAGAAGTTAACTTAATCAGAACTTCTAACCCAGTCAGCTTCTAACTCAGTCAGCTCTAACCCAATTAGCAACTATCAAACGGTCCCTCAATTTGCGCAAACTCAGAGGCGGAGGGAATAGGGGGGCTGCTGGATGCTTGGCCCCCCTCAAGAACTTTTCTATTTGCAGCAATACCATAGATAAAATGAGTTACTGTGTTAACTTTTGCGAATAGTTAATAATACTTGAGCCCAGCCCCTTCCAATTACTTAAAAAACAATGAGTCAATGAAAGTGATTTAAGAATTATCTTAAATAGAATCCCACATTTCACTTTAATTCTTCAAAACCACCGCCTCATCCTATCTATTTTATTTTAATTGAATATTTTGATTAATGCCCAATTTATATCAATCATTCGGTAGCTACATTATCCACCTTTATTGATATCAATATTACCCCTATTTATTTATAAACATTGTTTATTAATAGACTATCATCAACAGGTCAGGCGTAGTTATCTTTATTCGTCGAGGAGGTTAGTTTTCGATTAACAAATTATTTTCGGCTACACTGCCACATCGACATGATTTCGATTCTCTAATTAAGCAGGTAAATTTTATTTCTTATTGCATACTGTATTTAATGTTACTTGTAACTGATAATTTTATTATATCATGATAGTTTGGTTTATTATAATTATGGGGTAAATTATAAGCAAGAAAAAACCGTCGATTCCTTTATCAAATAAGTAGATGTTACTTGTGAATTTCAATATAGTATTAGAATGTGAGGCTTTCAGCCCCCTTTATTCTTAAATACCGGCTCCGCCACTGTGCAAACTGATACAAAAAAGTGTTGCATAATAATATTATCCATTCAACAAACAACAAGGTACCCTTATGTGTCATCTCACATCTTTGACCTCACATTGTTTTTTCCAGAATGTGTCACCATTTTCTCTCGAATTCCTTTTTGAGATTCAAAGAGATGCTCATGAACTTCATCAAAATAAGGTGCAGTTGCACTCCTTATGTCTTCTATCCACTTTTTCACTTTCTTGTAAGGGGTTAGTATCCTATGGTAATCCCTCTCACTCAAAAGCTAAACACACATAAAAAAATAGTTACAATTAACCCAACATAAGTGAAGCTTTTGTAACATGTTATATGATTACCTCAAGTTGCATGACTTCACATGCTAAACTGAGATCTGCAATTGAAGGTTGAGTGCTTCCACCCAAAAATCTTCCATCTTTTAACCAAACATTTTCTAATTTAGACAAAGATCTCAAGAGTATCTCCTCAGTTTGAATGAGTATCTCAGGGTATGAACGCATGCCATTTACTGGTGCTAGGATACTGTGGAATACAAGTCCACCTGAAAGTAGACGAAAGTATATAAAAAGAAGCATTGCCAATTTCCAGTATCTAAAATATAATTTTAAAAACAAGTGCTACTTAATTACTTATCACCTGCACCACGTCGAAGATGCAAATGATGCCAATCTAAAATGGAGTGGACCTTCGCTCTTTTGGCTGGATCACCAGGATACCTATGGATGTAACAAACTAATAAATTCATGCAATTAAAATAAATAAATAAATAAACGACTCACCAATGACTCGCTACTCCTGGAATAGCACAAGATAAGTAGATAAGAATCGCATGACTGAAAATCTCAACATAAAACAAATGAATCGATGGACAGATAGTGAGGATTTGAATATCATGTAAAAGATGCAAAAAGAACCTTTCAAAGAGCTTCAATTTTCCATCAACTATTGCAGGAACTTGACCCATGGGATTTATTGCTGCATACAACAAGACAGTTTTTTTTAGGTTCCGAAATCACGTATCTTAATGAATTTCCTTTATATTCATCAAACAAACCTTTATATTCAGGGGAGAATTGGTGGCCTTTCAAGACAGTAACCACAATTTCCTCAAAATCTATCCCGTTTTTTCTTCAAATAACATCCAAAAAGGGCATAAGATATAGAAGGAATTTAATTTGATAAAGAATCAATTTAACGATAAACAAGTAAAAAATTAAAAGAAATTAGTCAAATTACTGAAACTAACGAAGCAAGAGGCAGATAGAACATAGTATTTACAAAGGTTCATCGTCAAAACCTAATTCAATTTGCACAAATTGATACAAATGGGTTTTTTTTTTCTAGTTGAAATGACAGTCAAACTAAAGAAAGAAACTAGAGTGGATATGCTTCCTATTTCCTCAAAGTCGATCCCAATTATCCTTCCAATAACATCCAAAAAAACAAACCTTGAGAAAGACAATTTTTTACAAGCATCAGATAGTATATCAGTTGCGCAGTGATAAAGAAAACGTAACTGGAACTAACGAAAGAAACCATTAAGAACAGAAAAAGAAAACACCCAATATAAACGAGCAATTAATTAATAGCTTCAATAGTGTATTCGAGTACTCGATCGATGACGATGAAAGAAAATGCAGTTAAAAATAGAAGGTAAATGAAGAATATAATTTACTTGCAGAAGATGAGAACAGAACGAGAGGGTGCGGAGAGTCGATCAGCACATACTTTCAGCACCATGTTTTCTCTGTATCGAGAAATTGTGTCCTTAATTTACTTTCCAGATCAAGCTTTGATTTGGTGGGATCTAGAAAATAAAGTCAAAGACTGTTTTTTTTTCTAGTGTCTACAAAAAGTCATTATATATACACTTTGTACGATTTTGTTTTATTTTAACTTCAATTTTATTTTATTTTTCCCATTTTTCTTAATATTTTAGAAAACGATTTATTTTCAGGCACTTAGCCGTGTACCTACAGGTCATGATGACATACAGTTTGATATTTTTCTCAAAGCTTGTATTTAGCCCCAACATTTACGTATTGTTTTGTATTTGGACCCGATATTTTTTTTTTCCTATTTGCCATTATTTTTTAGAAAAAATTTCATTTTAACTATCGTCGATGATGAGATAATGCTTTAGTTTATTAGACTTTAGTTTACTAAGTCACGTGCTTTTCATGGGACTTGGTCCACGAATAATTAGCTAGTAGAATAGGTCCTATTTTGTTTTATAAAGTCCTTCTTTTCAGTACTTTCTGTTTCCTGTAAAGGCTATGTAAAGCCTATTAGTCTTTTAATAAACATCGAATCATTCCAGCATCATCTTGCCTTTATTGATTTCTCTTTGCATAACAGTTGGTATCAGAGCAAAAAAACCCTGGTGTGAGAGTGAAAAGGAGGGATAAGATCAGTAAACACGAGTGAACGAGAGTAAACACGAGTGAACCCAGAAATGTCGAATGAAGGGCAGAGCATGCTGAGTATTCCGAAATTCGACAGAGACTATGATCACTGGAGTATGCTAATGGAAAATCTTCTTCGATCGAAAGAGTGGTGGAATCTCATTGATCCGGGTTATAAAGAACCAAGAGCAGGATCCAGAGAGACAGATGCTGAGAAGGCAGCAAGAGCAGAATTGAAGATCAAGGATCTCAAAGTCAAAAACTATTTGTTTGCGGCGATCGACAAAAGTATCTTGAAAACAATACTCCAAAAAGAAACATCTCGGGACCTTTGGGAGTCAATGAAGACAAAATACCAACGAAATGCGAGGGTTCAAAGATCACTGTTGCAGGCACTTCGAAGGGAATTTGAAATACTGGAGATGAAGGAGAGTGAAACGATCACAGACTACTTTGGTCGCGTAATGTTGGTTGCCAACAACATGCGTAACAACGGAGAACCCCTACAAGACATGCACATTGTTGAAAGGATACTACGTACTCTCACTGAGAGATTCAACTACATTGTAGTATCCATTGAAGAGACAAAAGATATAGATCGTTTAAGTGTCGATGAGCCCCAGAGTTCCTTAATTGTGCATGAACAGAAGTTTCGAAGAACGACAAGGGAAGAAGAACATGTCCTAAAGATGACAAATGAAGAAAGAAGCTCCAGAGGGAGAGGTCGCGGTCGGTCTGCAAGCTACCGAGGTAGAGGACGAGGGAGGAAGATGTTGAATAAGGAAGTGATTGAGTGTTGGAATTGTCATAAGTTAGGGCACTTCAGTTATGAGTGTCCTGATTTGGAAAAGAAAGCAAACTCTGTAGAGCTTGATAATACTGAAGAAGTTTTGTTGATGACTTATGTAGAAGAAAATCAAGCAACGCGAAGTGAAGTATGGATTTTTGCAGTAACCACATGACTGGTAATCAAGAATGGTTCTCAGATCTGAAGTTGAAGAAAGACTTCATTCACACCGTGAAGTTAGGAGATAACAGTCGCATTGTTGTTGCGGGACCGGAACAGCACGAATGATGGTGAACGGGATGACTCAGATCATTTCAAACGTATATTATATACCTGAACTAAAAAGTAATCTACTGAGTGTGGGGCAATTACAAGAAAAGGGCTTAGGTGTGCTGTTTCAGAATGGAAGTTGCAAGGTTTATCACCCAACAATGGGCGTTATTATGTACTCACAAATAATTGGAAACAAGATGTTCCCTCTCATTGCTAAAATGGAGTCAAAAGAACCTGCATGCCTACAGGTTCAGTCACTTGATGATGCCAATCTATGGCATTGTCGATACGAGGCACTTAAGCTACACAAGCTTGACAACATTATCACGCAAGGGGATGGTAGAAGGAATGCCCCCATTTGAAACTCCAAAGAAGGTGTGTACAAGTTGCTTGGTAGGCAAACAACATCGGGAAATCTTTCCAAAGAAGAGTTTATGGAAGTCAACACACAAGTTGCAACTGGTTCACTCAGATATATGTGGTCCGGTCAATCCAATGTCAAACGGAAATAAAAGTTATATTTTAACATTTATTGATGATTTTACACGCAAGACTTGGATATATTTTTTGAACCAGAAGTCCGAAGCCTTTTACTCCTTCAAGATCTTCAAAGCAGCCGTTGAAAAGGAAGCGGGAACAAGTATAGTTTCTCTAAGAACTGATCGAGGAGGTGAGTTCAATTCAAATGAATTCACCACTTTCTGTAAGGAACAATGGATTGATAGACAACTAACAGCGGGGTATTCGCCTCAACAAAACGGGATTGCCGAGTGTAAGAATCATACAATTATGAACATGGTTTTATCCAAGTTGAATGAGAAACAAATGCCAAAAGAGTTTTGGGCTGAAGCTGCTAACTGGTGCATTCACATTCTAAATAGATCTCCCACAGCAGCATTAGAAGAGAAGACCCCACAAGAAGCCTGGAATGGCAACAAACCCAAGGTAAACTACTTTAGAGTCTTTGGATGCCTAGCCCATATGCATATTCCAAGTCAAACACGAACCAAGATGGATGACCGAAGCAGACCACATGTGTTTATCGGTGTCAGCAAAGAGTCTAAGGCATATAGACTCTTTGATCCAACAAATAACAAAGTATCAATAAGCAGGGACGTTGTTTTTGAAGAAGATAAGGGCTGGGAATGGAAGAAGGTTGTAGGAGTAACAACTACAGACACACTTACATGGGGAGACAATGGTGACTATGAAGTGAGCATGAAGAAGTTGAACCAGAAAATGACGAAGCTGAACCAGAAAATGAGAATGTTCAAACCTTATCATTTGAAAGTGATGAGCCAATAGAACCAGATTGGCATCATGTTTTAGGGTTTTCAAGGTATTAAAAGGTAAGGATTCATGTTTTAGGGTATTTTATTAGTCTCCATCATATCTAGAACCCCTTGGGAGAAACCCTAGTCTTCATCTTCAAGATTTGAGCTCCTCCGCTCTCCTCTCTCTCTCCTCTTTTGGATGTTTTTTGATATTTTGATGAATCTTAAAGATCAAGAAGGTTCTTTAGGTTGAAAGTAATTATGTTTCAAGTTTGGATCCATCAAAGGCACTACATTTCTGGACTATTGTGAGTATAAAGTTCCAATCTTGCTATTTAGTTCTTTAGATCTCTTCATTTGTGGTTTTAACACTTTTGGTCCATTTTATGAGTGATCTTGGAGTTGAGTGGACTCCAACATCTTTTGATCAGTTTAGAATGCTTCTTGGACCTTATGGACTAGGAAAGTTATGATCTTTTTCCATCCCTTTTAGCCATGCAAGTTATCTTGGTCCTTTAGGTCATTTTGGTGTATTAAACTTTAGATCTTGAATGTTTGAGACATTATTATTGATAAAGTTGGAAATTTTATCCATATAATCATTATGTTGATTCAATTCGGAAGGTTGTAGATTTGGACTTAATAGATTAGGTTGAGAAAGATGCATTGTTGGTCTCTTTAAGACATAAAGTCTAGATTTTGGTGGTTTGGACCATCCTAATGGATAAAGTTGGAAACTTTATCCATTATGAAACTATTAGGAATCATATCTGATGTTTTTAGCTTTGGTCCTTATCAAGGTTGCAGAAAACGCTCGACGTAGGCTCAGCGGTGGACTGATGTCAAGGGATTAATCGGCTAGGCGGGGATTAATCGGGGACCATTAATTATTAAAAAATTATTAAAAATTTAATAAATATAACATTAATCCTAATAATATAAGTAAACAAGTTAACAAATATATTAGTTCATTGATGATTTGGATTAAACAACCATATCAGCCAAGAATTACAAATGTTCTTCATTTGTTCTTGAATGTTCTTCATCAATTCTTCAAAATCATGTTTTCATAACGAGTTCATTCAAGCCACCAAATTGAGAGCTGCAACAAGCTTAAACCACCACCTCCTTTCTACCCCTAATAAGAATAGCAAAATATCACCACCTACTCCATCCGTTTTTGCTCCAACCACCAAACATCACCATTGGCAACCTTCATGTTTGCATCTGTTCAAGCACCATCACAACCTCAGCTACTCCACTACTGTCGCACCATAAACAACCAAAAATCACTGAAAGTTATCTTAAGCATTTACACAAACACTTAGCATGCTAGTTATCAAACAAACATACCAACCTCATGAATATAGCTATAATGGGTATAATAATCTCTTTTGAACTTACCAGCCAAAACCCACTCGAAACATGGGATATAAGCATCGGTTTTAAGAACCTAGGAAAATCAAGATGCAATTTGGAGTGTAGTTCACCTCCTGCACATTCCCAAAGGTTCAACAAGGATCTACGATAGCATTTCAAGAAACATCGATTAATAGTTGGTATATAACACAACAGATTAAACAGATTAGAGCTGGAAACTTGAAATGGAAACATATTAGATTCAAAAAATGCTAAAACAGATTCTAGAAATTGGTAGATGAGGAACAGAAGACGGAGACTAACCTGAAATAATTTCTAGAAAATGCTTAAACATATTCTAGAAAAACGCTTAAACAAATTCTAAAAAATGATTAAACCCGTTTTCTTCCCCAAATAATTTCTAGAAATTGCAATTCGTACAACAAATAAAAGAATGAGAAGTGGAGACTGGAGACTAACCTGAAGGAGAAGTCGGGGGATGAACAGAAGACGCCAGGCGAGGAACGGAAGGCGTCGGAGCCTCACACAGAAGCTTCAGCAGAAGATGAAGAACTTCAGACGATACCAGTGTGCTTTAGACAAACTTCAGATGAGGAAGACGGCGACGTCGTGAACGGAGAAGAAGAAGACGACGTCGTGAATGGAGAAGAGCATGGCGGCGTTCGTTCCTTCCATGAGTCCGACAGAGAGACTTTCAAAATGAAAAAAAATTGAATGCGATGGAATGGGGTAATCGGAAGGAACCCTACCATCAATTTTTACATTTTGACAATTTAGCCCCTGAAAGTTTTTAAGTTTCGTTGATCTGGTCAACCGATTAGAGCGCCTAGACCCCGCCTAGCTCCGATAATATCCGGCTTTGACCGATTTTGACCACGTCCGATTAGCTATAATCGTCATCAGTCGAGGACCGCCAAGCGCCTAGGCGCCGATTAATCGGCCGCCTAGGCCGATATTTACAACACCGGTCCTTATAGATTAAGCTCTTATTGAAGACAATTTTTCTGACCGTAAACCACAGCGCGGCCAAGGAAGCCCACGACGTAGTGGTGAGACTTATCGCGTCTGTTTTGTCTTGTAACATCCCAAAAATCATAAAAATTTAAAATTTTCAAAAGAAACCCATTTCATCCATAAAGTGTTTACAAAACCATTATTTCAAAAGTATTATTCAAAATCAGAGTATCCCAAGATCCAGTGTCATAAAAACAGGAAGATATGCACGATCATGCATTCGCTTTCTCACGATCATCTGAAGTGCCTGAAACAATAAACTGAAATTGTAAGCCAAAGCTTATTGAGTTCCCCCAAAGTACCATCACACAACACAATAAACAATATCATGCAAATATGAGTCTTCAGCCTGACTGGACCGCCTCATAGGGCCTACAACCTATCTGGACCGCTCTACGGGCCTTCGACATGACTGAACTGCCTCGCAGGGCCTACAGCCTATCCGGACCGCCCCAGGTGTCTTGGCCTTCAGCACAAAGCAGGACCACCTCACCCAACCACCATATGTCAACATATGTAACAGATAAACATAAACACAGAACTAGCAAATACAGATAATTATACATATCTACTAATCAGTCATATACTAGCATAACACTATCTTATAACCAGGATACATAATCTAGTGGTTGGGCATTGGTGCCTTCAACTCACGAGTACAGTGAGGAAAATCACATCTCAATCCGAAGAGCATCAGAAAAGTACGTAGCACCGAGTATAACTCTAACACCAACTCTACCGATCACCTAAACGAAATCGGTGACATAAGCTTCGTTAATAATCCCAAAAGACCTAAAATACCTAAACTACTCTTAGGTCAAACTTGGTCAAAAGTTCAAGGTCAATAAACCAGCCTAGTCAACCTAGCCGAGTACGCTGGGCGTACTCAGCTCTATGTCAGGCGTACTCCTCTTGACCAAGAAGTCGGGGATTTGACCACATACGCGCAACGTACGCACCTAGTCACCTCAACTTCTTATTAAGAGCTTAATACACTAATTCCTTACGTCCAAATCCAGATTTAAGTTCAAAATATCATTATGAGTCATAAAGTTTCCAACTTTATGACTTTGTATGACTAGAAGTGCTTAATACCAACAAACCCTAACTTCTTAATTAATTAGGACATCCTAGCACATGCATGGGGAAGAACTAGGAGCAAAGATCATATTTTTATGCTTCTAGACCTCTCAAAATGTATGAAAGGATAGCTTATATGGGCTGGAGCATTCCATGCTCATAAAGTTCAAGACTTGGGACCAAAATGCTTCATGAATCAAGAACTAACAAGATCTAAAGAAATGCAAGCCAAGTTCAGAAATTTATACCTCTTAGAGGTTTCTAGGTAAATGAGAATTCCAGATCCAAAGATTCTTCAAGCTTCTAAAGTTCCAAAAGCACGAGGATGTGTATGGTCACGCCTTCACCTTGTCACGGTCCACTGAAGTACCTGAAACCATAAACCAAAACTATAAGCACGAAGCTTAGTGAGTTCCCCCAAAGTACCAACACCCAATCAAATAGCATATATATACATATATATATATATATATATATATATATATATATATATATATATATATATATATATCAACATGCGATGGGTCCACAACTAAAATACTGGATTACTCCTGAGCCCACAGTATGAGTCTGGCTTGCCTATCGGGCCCACAGCTCATATATGGCTTGCTCCTGAGCCCACAACATTAGTCTGGCTTGCCCCGGGGCCCACAACTTATGTCTGGATTGCTCCTTAGCCTAACCAGTCATTAGAATGGCATACAAATGTTTAGCCCTCAGTACGAGTCTGGCATACCAACCGGTCCTCAGCTCGTATCTGGAATGCTACTGAGCCTTCAGTATGAGTCTGGCATGCCCTACCCGACCCTCAGCTCATATATGGAATGCTAATGAGCCCTCAGTATGAGTCTAGCATGCCCTCCCTTGGCCCCCAACTCATATATGGTATGCTCTATTGTTTGTTGGCTACATCACAGAGCAGTACAACCTCAACCCAACCCACACAATATGTCGGCATATAACATATAATATCATATACAGATAAACGGTCAGTATCACAGGTAGTCCTAAGAGATCTACCAGACTAGCATATCAAAACTAGCATGCATATCTACTCCATACTCAACATGTTCACAATAACAATTTATCAAACCAATGGGCCGGCCTTGGTGTCTTCGACCCGAAAATACAGTGAGGAAAACTCACCTCTCGATCTGATCCACAGTTGATGAGGTCCCAACTATGAATCTCAGCTCCAACCAATACCTATCCATCCAACTGACCAATATCCATCACAATCCCAAAATACCCTTAAGGTCAAATTTGGTCAAAGTCAACAGTCCATGTTGACTCCAACACGCCGTGTTGACTTGAAAACACGTCGTGTTCCTCCCACACCCAACCAGTCGGGAAAACCCGAGCCAGCACGTCGTGTTTGCCAGAGTTCCAGCAGCTTAATCCATTAAGCTGCTTCCTTCGATTCCCAGAGCTCCAAAGCTCATATCTAGACCAAAATGATACTAAGAAGGATAAAGTTTCCAACTTTATCCTCTATGACTACTCCAAAGGGTCCAAAACCCATCTACAAGGCTTGAAGATGCAAGGACTTAACCAATAAGCACTTAATCCTTAAAGTTGAAGCCCAATACTTCCCAGAAGAGGTTCTAGCACTAAAACCATCCTAAAGGTCGGTGCTTTATAGACATGCATGTCCAATGCATGTCTTGAACCCAAATTAGGTCAACACAGGGGATTATGAACTAATCTTTATGAATGGCATCAAAACTCAACTATAAGCCAGATCTAACACTCTACAAGATCACCTTGATCTGAAGATTCATAAAGTTGCAAACTTTAAGAGATCTAACCATTCCAACTTTCAAGAACAAGAAGCAAAAGGGAAAAAAATCAAGATCTAGCAACATGGAATGATAAAAAGTGGATCTTGGACACTTACAAAGGTCCGGAAGAAAGCCAAACTGAAGGATGAGGGACTTGCTTGTTGGATCTTGCTTCCTTCTTCCAACTTCTTCCTTCTTTGGCTCCAAAAACACCACACTAGCTCACAAATGAAACGGAAAGATGATTAGGGTTTCCTCAGGGCTTGGGGGCTGATGGGGGCTGAGGGTGAACAAACCCTAGCCTCCACTTTCCTTTAAATAGGGAGCAAAACCCGAAAAATAGGGTTTCATATCCAGCGACCAACACACCGTGTTCCAGGAGGCAACACGCCGTGTTGCTCTTAATGAGACTCGCACCTTTTCTTATCTCGACACGCTGTGTTGGTGCCTCCAACACGCCGTGTCTAATTCCAAAAAGGAGATTTATACCCAAAATTGATCCTCAAATTTCAGATGTTACATCAAGAATGCTCAAACAAGGGACTAAGGTTTGCTAAGGTCGAATGAGGTGATGGAGGCTGATGAGAGAAGAGACTTGGAGGCCATAAGGATTCTTAAAGAGGGTCCAAACCCTAAAAATTAGGGTTTTGGATCTCACCACGTATGCCCAGCGTACAATGTGTACGCCCAGCGTACGTGCCCACGCCCCATAATTCACAAAAATGCCACTATTGGCCATTTTGCAACATTTCTCATACAAAAGGGCTAAAATGCAATAATATTCATACTTAGGGTTAAAATTTGGAATTACCTCAACTTCAGGATGTTACAATTCTCCTCCACTTGAACTAGATTTTGTCCTCGAAGTCAGTTTTAGTGAACAAGTCAGGGTAATGCTCCCGCATCTCAGACTCGGGTTCATACGTCTTCCGGTGCTGTCACTGCACCTTGACCAAAGACACCATTTTTTTGTGCAAGGCCTTCATCTTCCGATCCAAGATCGCCACTGGTCTCTCCACATAATTAAGGCGATCATCAAGCTGAATATCCTCCAAATGAAACAACCGCTGAATCATCAACTACACACTTCCGAAGCTGCGAAACATGGAAAGTGTTGTGGATCTGGTTGAGCTTCTCAGGAAAACCTAATATGTACGCTACCTTGCCAATCCTAGCTATCACCCGAAATGGCCCAATATATCGGGTCCCCAACTTGCCCCTCTTCTTGAAGCGTATTACACCCTTCCAGGGTGATACGTTCAGCAAGACCATATCCCCGACCTGGAATTCCAACTCGGATCGACGCTTGTCGGTATAACTCTTCTGTCGACTTTGAGATGTCTGAAGTCTCTGCCTAATCTGCTAAATGAGCTCTGTCTTCTAAAGAACTACCTCAGTCCTTCCCATGACTAAAACATCAAAGTGAAACTTTATATAATGATGCTCACAAGGTGTTCGATCTAATGTCTCAAAAAAACCATTTCCTAAAAAAAGAGAATTCTTGAACATTTTTTTTGTTGTTTTCATGTATTTATATGTTATAGTTACTGATGTAGTTGTTTATAACAATGATTAATGTTTTTTTTCTTGGCATTAAATTGTTAGACATTTTTAGCCATTGAATATTTTCTTTAATTTTGTTACTGTAAGGTTTTATGTTTTGATGTTGTTTGGTTTTAAATGCATGTTACTATATAAACTCATGATTGTTATGTGGATTATATGCAAATTTTGTGATCATAGTTCATTTAGAGATTTTTGATAATTTTGTTTTCGTTACTTCATGATATTAATAAATTACTTGTTTTGGTTTGTCTGTTTATGATTGGATCATATGTT